TGTTGATGCTGATGCTGATGCTGATGCTGATGCTGATTGCGATACTGATATTGCTGATGATGCGGATGCTGATGATGCTGCTGATGATGCTGGTGATGCTGCTGCTGGAGATGTTGCTGCTGCTGATGACGATGGTGATGATCATGAGATGCTTATGATGCTGACGATGCTGAGGATGGTGATGATGATGTTGATGTTGATGTTGATGATGATGATGATGATGATGATGATGGTGATGTTTTTGGTGCTGATGGTGATGCTGATGGTGCTGATGATGATGCTGCTGATGATGCTGCTGATGATGCTGCTGATGATGATGGTGATGATTATGATGGGGATGATGATGATGATGATGATGATGATGCTGATGATGATGATGATGATGATGATGACGACGGTGATTATGATGATGATGATTCTGATGATGATGATGATGATGATGATGATGCTAATGGTGATGCTGATTATGATGATGCTGATGATGATGATGGTGGTGGTGGTGATGATGATTATGATTGTGATGATGATGCTGATGATGATGATGATGATGATGCTGATGATGGTAATGATGGGGATGCCGGAGGAGGATGAGGAGGAAGAGGAGGAGGATGAGGATTAGGATGAGGAAGAGGAGGAGGCAGAGCAGGAGGAGGAGGAGGAGGAGGAGGAGGCGCAGGAGGAGCAGCAGGATGGGGAGCATGGAGGAGGATGATTGATGACGATGAAGGTGGTGATGATGGTGGTGATGATGATGTTGATGATTGCGATGGTGGTGGCGATGGTTGTGGTGATGATACTTTTGTTGTTGATTATGGTGATGCTGATGATGATGCTGCTGATGACGATGATGACGACGATGCCGACTGGGTTCATGACGATGCTTGGCCTGGGGATGAGCTCGCGGATTAGGATGCGGATGAGGGTGAGGAGGGTGTAGATGATGGTTGTGGTGGTGCGGTTGATGATGATGCTGCTGATGATGATGGTGATGATGCTAATGAGATTGCTGCTGATGTGATGGTGATGATGATAGTGGTGGTGGTGATGATGCTGATGATGATGATGATTCTCATGATGACGCTGCTGTTGATGCTGATGCGGACGCTGATACTAATGCTGATCATGATGATGAGGTGGAGGAGGAGGAGGAGGAGGAAGAGGAGGACCAGGATGAGGAGGAAGAGGAGGAGGAGGAGGAGGGGGAGGGGGAAAATGGCGTCCAGGTCAGGCAGGCCACGTAGCATGGCACTCAGCATGGCCCACCGATACCCGTCGGGCTTGACGATGGCCATCGGGGACATCGCCTCGCCGTTGCCGAGTAGCAACTTTCAGAACGGCACGCACACTCATCCCTCGTTGATCGTTGACGGGGTTGGCAAGGGCCATGGTCTTCAGCTGGCGGGCAGCCGGTTCCAGGTCTTCGCGCTGACATGTCGATCGCACAACTTTTTTAGGTGCCCCTTACTCTTGAGGTCCTGCATGTCGCTTGTAATGCCGCTAAACTGGACACCACCGTCTGACTTTCCATGCTGCTTGCCCGTCTGCGTAAGCCAGGCAAGACGGCTCCGTCGACCAGGGGCTCCATTTCTGATGCGTAGTGAGAAAGTACCACACAACACCACATTAACGCCCTAATCCCAACGAGGTCTGGACGGACTGCCCAGGTGTAAACAGGAGCCACGCCCACCAAGGTTTACGTTCAGGGTTCGCGGAACGCGCGGTCACAAGCTTAAGAATTGCAAGCTTCGATCCATCCAGCAGCAAAAAGATAAGGATCGTCGACGCAGCCCCATCAGCCCCATCGGCCCCATCACAAATTCCCTCCTCTTCTTCAATCCCCTCATCCCCCCTTCTGCACGGATTCCTGCCACTTTTACTCCTCCTCCTTCTTTCTCCCCCCGAACATGGGAGGGAAAACGGGGGGGGAGGATGAGGAGTACGAGGGGGAATATGATGGAAAAAACTCTCCTTCCAGTCCCCTTTCTCCTCCCGCCTTTCCCCTTCTCCTCCCCCTCCCTCCTCCCCCCTCCTAACCCCTCCACCTCCTCCCTCCGCCTCCACTTCCCCCCCCTCCACCTCCTCAATCTCCTCCCCTCCTCCCTTCCGCATTCCCCCCTCACCTAACCCCCTCCACCTCCCTCCCCCCATGCGCCTCCCACCTCCACATCCACCGCACCTCCCACGATCCGTTTCGCAGCGGTTTGAAACATGCCAGTTTTGTGGAGGAACGGTCATGCACGGGACAGGGAGGAAGGCGTGGGTCCATGCACGATGGCAGGCGTCCCCCTTCTGGAGGCGCCTCGACCACTTAGACCCATCCACTCGAAGAAGGAGAAGTGGAACCATTCCACCTGAAATTATGCCGTCGATCGGCACTGGAGGGGGACGAGGCCTTCCCTGGTGCCCCTCGCGGCCAGCGAAGCAGGGAGGTGTGCAAACCTACCTCTACCTTCATGGCAACTCTGCCATTCTGGCGCCACTTCTCACCATCCTCCTCTTTTCCTCTCTCCTCTTCTGCTCATTACATCTTTGCTCGCCGATACTGGCTGGCTTGGCTTCTCTTCCGAATGCCACATCTTCCTGCTGCGCCGGGTAGGCCCAAAGGCGCCCTCCTGGGCGGAACGCAGCCGCTCGCCCGCTCGCTCGCTAGCTCTCCCCTCCCCTCGCGCCAAGGCCCAGCCGGCGGCGCCAGACGCGCCGTTCGCGGCGCGCGGGCCAGCGGCCGCGCCGAGGAGGCGCTGGCGCGGTGCGGACGGCGGCGGCGGCGGCCGCGGCGGCCGAGTCGGCGGCCGGGGCGGCGACGGCCACGAAGACGCCGACAACGATCAATGGGGGATGACGACGGCGATGAAGACGGCGGCGGCGGCGGTGGCAACAGCGTCGACATGAACGGTGACGGCGACGGTGTTGGCGGCGGCGGCAACGGTCGCGACAGCCACGGTGGCGGCGTCGGCGGCCGCGGCGCCCGAGGCGGTGGAGGGGCGGCGGCGGCGATTGTGACGGCGGCGGTGGCAGCAGACACGATGACCACGGGGGCTATTTTAGACGCTTCGCGTAATCCCACTAGCGCCGTAACCCCCCCTTGGCTCAAGCCGTCTCGGCCCAAGCCCGCCCCTGGCTCAGGTGTGCGCTCGGGCCAAAGCTATGTCCATTCACGGCGCGGCCCTCTCCAGGGTCGGTTTGCGCCGCCGTCAGCGGTTGGCGGTGGTGCGGCGGGACGCCCCGCCGCGGCTTGGCGGCCCTCCGCCGCCGCCGCCGCTGCCGCCGCCGCCGTCGGAGGCGGCCGGCGGCCGGCCCGGCACGGCCCCCGCAGGCGCTGGGCCGCTGCCGGCGCTGGCGCCGTCGGCGCCGGTTCGTTGGCTGGCGGCCCCGCGCTCCCCCGCCGCCGCCGCTGCCGGCCCCCCGCTGGCAGCCGCGGTCGCCGCCGCCGCGGCCTCCTCGCGTGGGCCGCCGGCGGCGGCCGCCGCTGCTGGTGCTTCGGCCGCCCTGGCGCTGACCCCGGCCGTGGCTGGGGCTGGTCAGGCCGCCGTTTCCGCTGCTGCTGCCGCTGCCGGCTCCTCGCCGGCGGCGGCGGCGGCGGCGGCGGCGGCGGCGGCGGAGGGCGCGGTGGCAGGCGCTGCCGCGGCGGCGCGCGGCCAGCCCTACGGCCAGCCCCACGGCAAGTCCAACGACCAGCCCCTCGGCCAGCCCGACAGCCAGCCCCACGGCCTGCCCGACTGCCAGCCCCACGGCCAGCCCCTCGGCCAGCCCGACAGCCAGCCTCACGGCCTGCCCGACTGCCAGCCCCACGGCCAGCCCCGCGGCCAGCCCCACGGCCAGCCCCACGGCCAGCCCCACGGCCTACGACTACCAGCCCCGCGGCCAGCCCGACGGCCAGCCCGACTGCCAGCCCCGCGGCCAGTTCCACGTCCAGCCCCACGGCCAGCCCCACGGCCAGTCCCACGGCCAGCCCGACGGCCAGCCCCGCGGCCAGCCCGACTGCCAGCCCCGCGGCCGTCCTCCTGGAGACCGGCAGGCGGGCACTCATACGGCTCCTCACTCTTAGCAGCGTGCGGCAGCAGTGTGGTGGAGGCCGGAGAGGCGCTCGACAGCGCGCCCCCTCCTGGAGACAGTACCTTGGCGACGGTCGGGAGCGCGGCAGAGGGCACGCCCGCGCTCGGAGGTTTTCTTCACAAAATAGAGACTCAGGAGCGTGGTCCGGAAAGAGCGGCCGTTGGCCGCAACAGCCTTCAGTGAGACCTCGAGAGTGAGAGCGTCTTGGTCTGCCCCAGCTTGTCTTCCCCTCCTCCTCTTGGAGGCCGGCAGGCGGGCGCCCATGCGGCTCCTCATTCCTCTCAGCGCCACTGGGGCAGCAGTGCGGTGGAGGCCGGAATGGCGCTCGACAGCGCGCCCCCTCCTGGAGGCAGTACCCTGGTGACAGTTGGGAGCGCTGCAGAGGGCGCGCCACGTTCGGAGACTTACATCGCAGAGCTGAGCCTCAGGAGTGTGTGTCGGAAAGTGCTGCCGATAGCTGCTACAGTATTCAGGGTGCTCGAGAGCGAGCACGTGGTCGTCTGCCGCAGCTTGTCGCCCCCCCCCGCCCCCCCCTGGGGACCAGCGGTTGCCTCCGGCAGCCCTGTAGGGTGATATTTTTGGTGGGATTGGTGGTCCAGGGCAAATGATTGGCCGAGCGCCCGGAGCTCGCGTGGCGCGAGCGGTTCGTGGCTCAAATAGAAGGCCAGCGTGTCGCAGGCGCGATGCGATCTGTTTGCGTAGCAGTCAGGGCGCCTATCGGGCGCGCATTCTGCATTCGATTGCATGGCATTGCGTTGTAGAGCATTGTATTGCATGGCGCCTTGGGGTCAAGCGGGATTGCAAAGCATTGCGTTGCACAGCAATGCGCCCGAAATCGATGGGCGGGGGGGCGAGGCAACGCATTGCAATATCTAGGGCCAGAGCAGCAATAAAACGAGCGCGCGTAAACTGATGTGTTGTGTTTTCTGCTGGCGCTTGCCTTCCATAGCCGTTTTGGCCCCAGGGATACTGGCCCACATGTGCGCATGCTTTTTGGCGGGGTCCGCCAGTTTGATATCCGCATTTTCTGTGCGCACGCATGGGCGCTTGCTCACTGGTGGTCAAGTTTTCCAAGCCGACTGCCTTGATTGATGATCGGACAGACAGGAGAGATGTCCAAAAACTGAGAGAAGTACTCAACGTATTTTTGCAAGACAGGTATCGCGCAGCAGTGGAATGCCATGCAAGTGAGCGGGTGCTGATTCGGTATTATTCATCGGATGGTACACCGCTGCTGATGAACGCCAGTTGGAAACGCCGTTTAGGACCGAAGACGGTTCGCCGAAAAGGGAAGCGATGCGATGAGATGCTTTGCGAGCGATTGTATTTGAAAACGTATGACTACCAAGGCCGTCGTCAGTGCCACGTGGTTGTGCGAGACCCCGTTCCTTTGACCGCAAAGAAGGGAGGGTGCGCGCTTCTCGCCTGCTGCGAGGCACTTGCGCCGTCAGTTCGGGAATGCTTCTTTTTCGGTCCAGCACTTAATGTTTATTGTTGGGATAGGGGGTGCTTTTCCATCTGCAGCCGGCTGGTCTGGCAAGCCCACTCGTTGCGTAATTCGGAGTCTACCAGGGCTTCGGCGTACATCGACAGTTTGCTCGATTTTGTCATCGCGATTCCTGACTTGTTGCACGATGCTAACAATGCTTTGTTGTGGTCTCTTCGTCAATGGGTCAGTGCCGAGGGCGTATGCAAAGACGTATGGTGTGCAATCACAGCTATCGGGAATGCGTACGATGTTATCATGTTAAACCTAGACGGATGGATCCAAGCGAAGATATTGTGGACGGATGCCCCTGCAACGGCAGAGTTTTGTCGAGAGTTGTGGGCGTGTTTCGAGTTGGAAGATGACGTTGTGGAAGTGCTGGTAAATTGCCGGGTCCTCTGGCGACGGGGTCGACTGGAAGCGCGGGATCAGGTGCAGCACGTCACGGGCACCATCGGTGACATTAGCGGAGCATTGGTGGGGGCATGGCGATTTGTCAAATTCTCCGAGTCTCGCTGGCTGGGTTTGGCGACGAGCGGCCGCCCACTCGTCGCCGCGCATCTCCTCGGCATCGGGGGGCTCATCGAATTTGCCAGGCAGGGGAAAGACAACGCAGAGTACCGCATCAGGATATACAGTCGGTTCAAAGAAGACGCCCGCTTGTTAGTGTCGATTGCCTCCCTCTCCTGTGGGGCGGCCGAGGCTGCCGCGAACTGCTTGCTCCAAGATGGGCGCCTGCTCAGGAATTATGACATCATACAGCGCGCGGTCGAGGACAACGCGGCTTTCGTGCACGGGATATCTTACGGGATCTTCGAGCATGTGGCTGCGGAGATGTTCGGCGGGGACGGCGTCTCTTTCCGATCCAAAGTGGTGCTTTCAACAACCATCGGGGCGGGTTTCATGTCGAACCGTTTCTTTGACAAGGGCTCAGAGCTGCCGTGGTCGCTGTGCATCGGCGACCCGATGGAGAACTTGGAGGCCCTGGCTGGGAAGGGGGAGCCGTCGGAGCCGGTGTCGAAGCAGTTGCATGAATTATGGCATTTGGGTTATCCCAAAGAGATTTTGCGCGAGGTCGTCGAGGAGTTCTCCGACGTCGAGCACACCAGCCTTGGTGTCGAACAGTCACATGCTAGCGCCGCCCAGGTTCTACGACACCACCCAGAAATGGAGCGAGATGCGGTTCAGTGCAGAGCATTCCTAGGCGCAGCCCGCGCGTTCCTCAACCCAGCGCGGGTGGATCTTGACCTCGAAAAGTACAGGAAGAAGATCTGCACGTTCAAGACAAAGTGCACCATGACGGGCAGGAATTTGTATTTGAAAGAATGTTTCGCCAAGGCGAAGCAGCGGAATGGCAATCGACGTCTCGCGCCAGACGTTCGTGAATCCATCATGACCAAGCACGGTACCGAATATGCAAAGTTGTCGGACGAGCAGAGGTTCCGCTATGAGCACCAAGCCCAGCTTATCAGCGACGACATAGGGATGGAGGCGCATGCTCAGTTGCAGGAGCTTCGTCAAAGTTTGAGCATCGCAGAAATGCGAGCGGAGGAAAGCAAGGCTGGTCAATCATCGTGGTCTTTCGACGCATGTAAGTTCAGCGACGAGGACGTCTGTGGTTGTGCTAACAGCTAGTTGGGTTCGCGTGGGTTCGAGGGGGCTCGTTCGACAGTTTCGTTTTGTTTTCAATTCGCTTCAGTACTTCGTTTTTTTTGTTATTCCCAGTTTTGCGTTAAGACTTGGGGCGAATGTGACTCTGTCGCCAGAGTGCGTTCGGCTGTTTCGGAGTCCAAGTGTTTCGGGCCACGGGGGCCCACTAATTGTAGCATTGTTTTTTCCGCCAGGACAAGGCTGTATTCGATGCCATGTATCAGCGCGATCGGCGATTTACGAGGGCCGCCGTCGAGCGAATGAGGACTGATGCTTGCAAGGCCCCGCCGGTCCCAGACGTGGGCGCAAAGCTTCGGATGAATGCGCAGCCATTGCCGCAATCCCCTCCAGTGGTTCGGCCTCGGTGGCTTGCCGAGGTTTGTCAGAAGCGAGAGCACTTTGCCGCGGTATGTTGGGCAGTGCAGCCTCCCGGCCAGGCCGCCGCTTATTACCACATGTTCTTATATGCGTACCAGAATCCTCAATTCATGCAGGTCGTCTGCCTCGCGCGTCGCGCATGGGATCCTGCAGGGCCTCGCGGCGGCGATAGCCCCGCCGATCGTTGCGACTGGATGTGGGACTTCTCAATCACGAATGCGTACAAGGCCAAAGGAACCAAATATCAGACTTCCACGTGCTTGTATCGCGAATGCTACCCATGCAGACTTTGGGGGGGGGGGGTCCCGCGTCGTTTTCTTCGGGGGCTGGGGGTGAGAGAGTACGTGATGAGGGCCGCGGAGCTGCGCCGCATTAGGCGTCCAACCCTTGCCCTGTTTGAGTGGCGTTTCGCGGCACTGGCCAGCTTGCAGTCCGATCAGCGGTTCCGAGAGGATTCTTCCAAGCACATGGCGACTTGGGACGTTGACCACGTTGTGGTGATAGATCGCTTGACCCTCCTAGGCAACAGGCGCGCGGTGTCAGATGCTCCTGCCCAGCCGCTCCGCAGGTTTCTTGCTTCCCTGCCCGACCCCCCGAGGCCCGCCAAAGCCCCCGACGGCTCCGTTCAGGGGGGCCCTGTCCACACCTCTGCTCGAGCCAAAATGGTGGCCGAGAACCCTTGGCTGTTGGACGTCATTGATGACGCTCAACCCATCAGACAGAAGCGCAAACGAGATCCGCGTGGAGAGGGGCCTGACGCGGCCGAGTGCGAGCTCGAGGACGCTTTCGGCGACGATGCCCTTGAGCCCGAGGTCTTGGGCGCGGAGTTTTGGCAAGACCTCGCCGAAGCGAGGGCCCTCGTCGCAGGCGGCGGTGGGCCGGATCATTTCGGGCTCAAGCCTTTGGGTGGCGAGTGGACCCATGCGCATTTGAACGTCGCGCACGAGGCTTGGCAGGGTCGAGCGGCGTCGCCGTTAGCTAAACAATTTTTGGAGAAGTATACTCTGAAAGGGTACATGCGCTTTGATGTGTCTTTGTACACAAACGAGGGAGCTTTAGTATGCGCCAGGTATTGGGTTGCTGGGATGTCCTATTTCTTCGACTTGTGGCGGGGCCTCGGCCGTTGCGATGCGCATGCTTTTACCGAAGCTGAGATTGCCAGCTTCCGCGAGCCTGAAGAGTTCACGGAACTCACTGTTTCCTGCACCAAGCCTGCAGCACAGAAGCGATTCACAATGTTGCGAGGCTTATTTCCAACGGGGAATGGCACTTGAACTACCCACAGACAGCATTCGAAGGTCGATTGCACTCGACAGCAGAAGCATAAACATAGCAATGCTGATTTCAAATGTGAGCACATAGTAACCCAACATATTCTCAATCAACATGCCTATATTGAGGGGTCATGCTGATGTGGTGGGGAGTTGGCGGTATTGTTAGGCTGATTTCGGTTGGTTGCCAGGGTTGGGTCTCTTCTGGCGCCCGCCGAGAAGAACCCCACTTCCCGGAGGGAATTCCGTGGGGGATACAATTCAAGCTTCATTATCAGAATTGGGTCCCTCCAGGGCTCCCAGAGGGCTCCAAGAAGGCCCCCAGAGGGCCCCAAGACGGACCCAAGAACGCATGTCGTGTGCATGTCGTCGTCGATCTGGGCCCCATGGCCACGACATGCGCACGACATGCGCGATAAGAGTCCTCTTGGGGTCCTTTTGGTCTCCTCTTGGGGCCCCTCGGGAACCCTCCCAACCTGTCCTGGCCCCCTCATGGGGCTCAAAGAGACCCTTCAGAGGGCTTCAAAGGGGCCCCATAGGGCCCCAAGACGGACCCAAGAGCGCATGTCGTGTGCATGTCGTCGTCGTTCTGGGCCCCATGGCCACGACATGCGCACGACATGCGCGATAAGAGCCCTCTGAGGGTGTCTTGGGGCCCTCTTGGAGCCGTCTTGTGGCTCTCGTAAGCCTGCCCCAGGGCCCTCGCAAGGGCTTGAGAAGGCCCCAAAACAGTCCTCGTCGCCAGCGCCGCCGCCACCGTCGCCGCTGCCGTACCTTCGGGCGCCGTCCCCCATCGCTTACAGCCGGGAGGGAACACTTTTGAGAAACACCGCAGTAGTGCAGAAATTATCAAAAGTGTTCCCTGGCAGGTTCCATCATCATCATCATCATCATCATCATCATCATCATCGTCGTCGTCGTCATCATCATCATCATCACCATCGTCGTCGTCGTCGGTGTCCCCGTTGTCCGTTTCAGCTTCGGGGCCCTGGGGGGTTCGTTCTTCGTGGACCTCCCGGAGCTTTCCGAATTCACGAAGAGGCCCCCAAAGAGTCCAAGAAGGCCCCATCAGGGTCCCAAGAGGGCCCCAAGAGGCCCCCCAAGAGAGGCACACTCGTGCACATACTTTGTGCCTCTTCTGGGGGCCTTCTTGGAGCCACCTTCGAGCCCTGTTTGTGCCCTTTCGGGCCCCCCTGGGGCCTCTTCCGGGGGCGTCCTCCTTCTGTGCCTCTCGGGCACGATCGCGCCTCCTCTGGAGGCCCGGCTGAGGCACCCTCCGAGGCTCCGATGGGGGTCCCAACAGGGCTCCAAGAGGACTCCAGGAGGGGCCCAGTGGCATATATAACTCCGGGCGGTGGTTATATACCCCCTTGCGGCCCTCTTGGGCCCGTCTAGGGGCCTCTTGCGGGACCCTTTGAGAGCCTCTTGGCCGCGCCCGAAGGCCCCGAGAGTGCCCAGAAAAGGCTCCCAAAGGATTCCAGGAGACCCCCAATAGCGTGTATAACCCGAGGCGTTGGTTATACACCCCCTCTGGGGCTTCTTGGGCCCCTCTTGTGCCCGTGTTGGAGGCAGCATTCGCCTTCCCAGTGGGCGGCGGCATCACTGGCATTGCACGGTTTCCAGGAAGTGGAGGAGGGACGAGGAGGAGGGGCAGCAGGAGCGGGAGGACGGGGAGGGCACATGAACGGGAAGAGGGGGATGATGATGAATGGGGGGGCAGACAGGAGGACGGAGGCGCCAGATGGGAGTGCGTAGATCGTGCAGGGTCCCAGGTGCGTTGGGGCCCGGGTCGTTGTAATGTCTCGTCGAGGAGACGCAAGGCTCCGCTATTCCCATCCGCTGGACCAATGCATTATCGTTAGGTTGTCTTGTGCATATTGATTACCTTGGCGAGTTCGGCGCATTATTTCAATGGTGGGGAGACCTCTGTCCGAAGCTGTTTCGGGCATTCTCGCGTGGATCTTGTACGCACAAGTGTTGACCGGCATCGTTTTGTTTACCTTGTTCTCCTAAGCACTGGCGTAGCTTCTCAACGTGGGCATGGGGATGGAGAGGAAAAGGAGGGAGGGCGAGGCGAGGGGAGGAAGCGGGAGCGCAGGAGGGATGGGGAGGGAAACACAGAAGGATAACGGGGGGCTACCAGCGATTGCTTCACATTTGGCCCAGTTATCTTCCGTGCGGGGTCTGCGTTCCGCTACTTCGGAGATGGACCCGTGAGTGTGGTGAGAATTGCCGTGGCAAATTCGGTGGTGATTTATTCTTGTGAAATGGCAAGGGAAATTTGCCATCTCGTGTTTGAAACGGTTTCCCACCTGGCTGTCGAGGGCAGTAGCGGGCTTTGGGCTCGCGAAAGCGCAAAGCACTGGTGATAAAGTTTGCCACCGCGGCTCTTGACCTGGTGAAGTTTACGCTCGCACCCCCCCCGAAGCGATGGTGACAAAATTGTCACCGGCCCCCCCTGGCAGGGGTGACAAAATGTAGCCATCGGCTAAACGTCCATATCGGTTTTACGCTGAAGTAGATGCACCCTCCCTCACCCCTTCCCTCCAGTAGCAGTCGGCTATCCGCAGGTAAGCCGACCCCACGCTGAAAAAGATGCGCCCTCCCTCACCCCTTCCCTCCAGGCGTGCCGAAACGAAGGAGGGAATTTCGGCCACGTTCGTGGGACAGCGGTGCCTGTGCTTTTGTTGTCCGGGGCAAGGGGTTCAAAAGTTCCGCTTCGCGTCTTGGTGCGGCCTGGGGTCCACGGATAGGCCGGCACCTTCAAAGTAGGGTGTGTGTGTGTGTGCAGCACGGTTCTGGGGGCATTTGTGTGTGCAGCTCGGCTCTGGGGGCATTTGCGTGTGCAGCCCGGCTCTGGGGGCATTCGTATGTGCAGCCCGGCTCTGGGGGCATTTGCGTGTCCAGTCTGGCTCGGGGGGCATTTGTGCGTGCAGCCCGGCTCTGTGGGCATTTGTGTTGCGTGCGTAGTGATTCGACATAGACACGACTGAGGAACGGTGCGGTCCTCATGGCATCGTCCGTGAGGATTGCCATGATGCCCCAGCCAACTCGTGTGGCGTCGCGCTCTTCCCCGTCTGACTCCGTCGTGCCATGCGTGTGCCTCTCATGCTGCGGACTGTTCTGCTCCTCGTTGTCAGCGCTGTCGTCGTTTCCTTGGTCGTTGCCGTCGCCGTCGGGGTCCTCAGGCATTGTGCGCTACGAACTGTATGTGGTATGTGTTGCCTTCCCTTGTTTTTTTTTCGATGGCCTCATCTTGCCAACCTCGAGCTGGTGCGTTTGCTATTGGGCGGCATTATCGTCATTTGTTACAAGCGCCATCCGTAGGAACGCGCCGGAAGGAAATTCGAAGACCGCAAAATTCAGCCACAACGCCCAGGGGAACCATCCACAGACGTCGCAGAGCATTGGCCACCCTCTTCAAATTTCCTTCCAGGCTTGGGTATCAAGTCCCCTCCGTCAGGAGGAGCCGCACGTCGGCCCTCATCGAACCCATCTGTGGGTCACAGTGCGCGTGATTCGACGTAGACACGAATGCACCAACCAGCTTAAGTGTTTAGCTGCGTTGCTTGGAACAGGCATGGGGAAACAGTAGAAAGGGCAACGGGGCTCAGAGGGGAATGGTGACGAGGAGGGCAGCCGGGACAACCCCAAACAACAACGGGAACGATGACGGCATTGAGGCTCGAGCGGTTACGGCGGTTCTTTGGATTTCCTTTTTAGGTCATTCGCATTGCCTCCAGCATGCCTGCGAACCGTGCTAGTGGAACCGCCGCTCCGAGGCCCCGGCGGGTCAAGGGGAAGCGTAGTCTCGTATATGATGCTCATGGCACTTCCATTGCCCCGTTGATCGAGACAGAGCACAAGCAGAGTGGCAAGAAACAGAAGACTTCACCGCAAAAGGGTGAAGACTTTGACCAACAGGTGAAGCAAATGGTTGCCAAGTGCATCCGGGACAACTTTAAGTCTTTCTCCAGCAGTGAAACGGACGGGAAAAGGGTGAATGACCGCACCCTCCGGGAGCAGCTGACGATTGATAAGAAGCTTGTGCTGACCAAGGGCCCGCATGCACCAGTTTGGGGAAAGTCTACTTTCGCAACCTCCGCGAGCAGTACTCCATCAAGGAGGGCTCGGAGACAGCGCTGCTCGTTGCAGATTCCGACGAGGGGCCCGACCCTGCGTGGATGCAGGCAGTGACCAAGTCTCGTCAGGGAGCGCCTTCTCGGACAAGCCTCAACGACATGTTGGAGAATGCCGGGCCGTGCAATCAGTGCGAGTACGTCGGTTTGCTATCGCATGGTTTGGAGCTGACCGCTTCGGATCTAAACCAGCAGCTGCTCACCTTGCTTAACATGGTCAAATGCATCACTAAGAACGGTTTGCGCGTGACCTTTCCCGGGGAAGCTGCTGCGTTTCGCTTGCAAGCGGACAAGACGATGGCGGCAGTCTTCTCGGAGATGAAGGGGAAATCTATCGGTCCAGAGACATTCTGGGAGAAGTATCGCGACGAGTGCAGTTGGATTCTCCCAGTGGAGGCAGTTGATGGGCTCATGGCGGGGAAGGGCAGCTGGGATAACCATTCTGAAGACATTGACGCTGTGACAGGCACCAGCGAGCTCGGCATGCGCATGTTCCAAGGCGCGGCGAGGAGCAACGTGTTCAACCGTGTGAAGAAGGCCTGCAACTCGCGCATTGCCGAGCTCCTGGACGGGCGGGAGGTCACCAAGGCTACCGTGCAGGAGTGCAAAGCGAAGATCATGGCGGACGTCCAGGCCATGTCTATCCCAGATCTCCCGAACAGAGTCATCGTCCTCAGCTACTTGGGCGATGATGCGAAGGTGAAGGTGGACTCGGCACTTGGAGAGGTGAAGATTCGACTGAACACATGCATCAAGATGCGGGCGCACGCGCGCCAAGGGAAAGAGACTGGCAAGAGTGCGGCCCGCATCCTTACCCCGCTGTTCTGCGAGTTGGAGCTGGCCGACAAAGTGGGGCCCAATTACAAGGGCGTGGCGGCCGACCTTTTGAAGCCTTTCAATTCAGCGCGGAAGAGCGCGAATGGTTCCGTCACCGCAGACAGGCATGCCGACGGCGATGCCGTGGTCACGCAACTGGACGACCAAGAGGACGTGTTGTCCTTGATCGATGACACGATCATCGTGGAGATCGCGTGGTTCCGGCTGATGGCGGGGGCCGGGGTCCAGGGGAAACTCAAGAAGGATATCCTGCGCATCTTGCCAGACAGGGCTGGCGTGCATCAGCCGAGGGCCATCGCTGACCAGGTGGCCCAGCTGACGGTTCAATGTCGGTACAGGTTCGGGTCCACCGACGCGAAGAGCATTGTGAACATCGTCGGCGAGTGGCTCAACGCTATCTCCAATCGGAGAGCGCCCTCGCTCGCGGCAGCGAAGGAGGGCGAGTGGTTGTGGACGGTGCGCGAGCGTCTGGGCTACCTCTGCCACTGCGAGGAGGATCGAGGGCACTGTCGTTCGGCGCCCCCCGGCCGCCTCGCCCACCCCCGGCCCCCCCCGCGCAACCTAGTCACTTCCAGCGATAGAGGCGATAGCAGCGACGCCGACGGCGGCGACGGTGGCGACAGCGACGAGGGTGACCGTGATAAGCACGGTGGCCACAATGGCCATAGAGTATGCAACGTGTTCGTAGCGATCGCACTGCCGATCGCCACGAATGTCATGGCAACGTTAGTTGTGGTAGTGGATACGGCGCTGACAGTGACAGGATTGATGTACGCCAGATCAGCGATGCTGCCCGCAACGATGGCGGCAGTGATGCCGTGGGTGGCATTGCCGATGGCGACTAGGGTTACCTCGCGGGCGGTGCGTCTAAGGATTGGGGCCCGAGGGGCGCCGAATGCGATCGCCCGCAGGAGGGCGCATCTGGTTCGGACTCCGCGGTGTTGACGGGCCCCGAGGCGATGGCCAAGAAGTTCGAATGCGTGAAGGCTCGCATCGATGCCGGGGAGAGGCTGAGCATCGACGGCTTGAGGGATTTCCACGTCTTCTCGTGGCTCATGTCTGATTGCCAGAAGATGCCCCACAGCAAGTGGCGCAATGACATCTACAAGCGGGCTGGAGGCAAGGGCGCCACTTCAGTCGTCGGCGGCGGTGCCTCCTCGGCAGCCGCGGCGAAAATGAAGGCCGCCAGCTCCTCCTCCGCGGCGCCCGCGGCTGGCGGAGCCAAAAATATCCTCGAGGCCGAGGCCGCGAACCTTTTCAAGAAGAAAAAGGTTGCCTGATCCGTCCCGCCCTGAGGGCCGCCGCGCGCGAGAGAACGCGAGGGGCGTCATCGCCCCCAAGATGCATGCCGAGCCACGTGTCTCGAAGGTGCGCGTGCCCATCCACAGTCTTCGCTTGAGCTGAAGTGGTCTTTTTGGGTGGTAAGAGGATTGGGCGGTGGACGCTGTCGTGCCAATGTCTTTAATAGTCAGCCCTTCGGGTTCCTGGAGGCGGTCTGGTCCTTATTTGAACGCGCTGGCAGAGCAGGGATGAAAGGGGGGCTCGAGGAGGGGAGCTCGAGGGGAGAGAACTCAATGCCGATTGTTACGAATTTGCCTTGGGCTCGTATCGGCCTTGTGGCCGCGATGAATTTCTTACAGCCCTTGTCACTGGGCTCGCGCGGTCATGCCAACACCTTAAAACCAATGCGAGGTGCAAGAGATATGAATCCGAGGAGGGGGGGGGAGGCAGGGAAGGTTGATCGGAGGAAAGCGGTACACAGCATTATTATGTCGCGCGAGCTGGGTTTCTCTCTCTAGGTCCCTCCGGGGTCATTTTCGGGCCCGCCCGGGGACGTCGATGACGCCCCCTTGAGGTCTTGGCGGGGATCGGCTTCAAAGGGGGGAAGGGTGATTCCAGGGGCCCCTAGGGGGGCCAGGCGAGCTGTCGCGCAGACGGACCTCGTGTGCGATACGGTGTTCGATAGGATGCGTGCGCGACGGTTCGATGGGGCACCTTGCCTGGGGGGGGCTTGGTGGTGGCAGTCCCAGGGCTTCTTTGATTTGTCCCTCGTGGTGCCGCGAATGTCATCCCTGTGCTTTTGCCCGCTAGCACTACGCTATACGTACATGTCTGGGCCGGGCAATTGATTGGGTTGCATCCAGTTGCTTGGCAATGGGGCGCGGATGCGACAGGTATTGCACGTGCTTCGTCTTAGTGCCACTTCTTGTGTTCTCCATTTTGAGGGTTTCGGTTGCGCGACTGTCCTCCCAGGGGGCTCGCAGCAACTTGCGGGGGGGGCGCCGTGCCTGGGCGGTCGGCCAGGCCGGAAGCGGCAGCCCGACATCTTGGGGATTCGCTGAGTCAAGAGGGGGTTCACTCCTCACAGAAAAAACACAGGTGGCAACATCGCTCCTTGGCTATACCGTCCTTCGCTGTTCTTCCCGCTCCTCGCCCACCTCATGTTCCTGCCCTTCCCCTTTCGTCATTCCCATTCTGGCCCTCGTCCTCGTCGTTGTAACTCGTCGTCGTCGTCGTCGTCCTTCCCTTGCTTTCTTGCGCTCAGGGGCACGGTGATGGCGTGGGTCTGCGTTGCAAGGGCCGACCTAGCCACGGGCCAGCGACGCCGCGCAAGAAGTCTCCAGGGGCGAGGCGGCGTTTCAACGTCCACCGTTGACAGGGCACGCGGGAAAGAGGAGACAGGTGGGGCGAGCGCGAGAGGGGGCCCTCGCGAATCGTAGTGTGCGAACCCCGTCTCGCCCTGACCTGGTAAGTGTATGTTCGACGTGTTCTGTCGCGCGGTAATGTTTATGCGCTTCGTGAGTCGCCGCCGGTCTTTGCAGGTTTGTTGGGGCGGGTTCGGGGTCTCATTAGGGGGCTCTGGAGGTGTGATTTGGGTCTTGGTTGCTATTGCCAGGTGTTTTTCGCATGACTTCCGAGGGCGCTCGGCGGGGCGCCCCGGCTGATGGGGGAGAACGCTCGGGCGCGCCTCGAGTGGAGGCTGGAGATGTCGCCCCCTCGTGCTCTAGATTCCCAGCGGCGTTGAGAAATTTTGGGCCGTCCTGCGGCGTTCGCGGGGCCATCTTGGGTCGCATTGGGGGGCCTGTGGGGCCGTCTTGGGCCGTCTTGGGCCCCCAGAGGCCTGGTTCGCGGCATCGCCGAGGGCATCCTTCAAACAGTGTTCGTCCGCGAAGCATTGGGCCCCCGCTTGTCCCGACCTAGTCTGTATTTGATGTATGTGGCAATGTCTGGCTGGGGCTGCTGAAGAACACATTTGCGATCAGTAGATGGGGTCCTGGACCTTCTCGGGCCGCCCAGGCGGAGGGGTGTTCCGAAGTGGTAGCCTTGTGCGAATGCGACCTCGGGCGTGGGTCTTCTTCAACAGTCTTTTTTCCCGCGGGCAGGGGTGCACGGGATGCGGCAGGTTTAGCGTGGCGATGACGTTTTTTGCCAGGCGGTGGCAACAGTAAGAAGATTCATACTTCTTGTAAGTGGGGAGCGCGAAAAGAATTCACGTACAAGTAACATCATCCCAGAGGTTGAGTGGCCGCTTCGCGTTGCGACGAGCCGTCCGTCGTGTCCTTTCTTAATCTCACTTGCCAACACTCGCGTCGGTATGTTCTACGTATGAGGCCTTGCCAAACTAAGAGTTCAGAGATTTATAAGCTTAGCTAACGCGCGTCGCGCTCCTGATGGGCGCGCCGTGGACTGCTCCGCGCAATTGCGTCAAGGTGCTAAACGCGTGCGGCTTTCGAAACGTGTCAGACGAATTGCGCAATTTCGCGAATCGATGTTTCAATGTGATTTTCTGGTTTGTCGTTTTGTCACAGATCTTCTGGCCGCCGCGCCTCTCGCAACCAGCGGGCGGGCGCCCTTTCGGCTGGGGCTTCGATCTTTCGTTCGTCATGCTCTGAGAAAGGGCGACCGTGACTCGTAACCCCAGCAACCCTAGCAGGCCTTGAGTGGGAAGGGATCCGTCCGCGGATCGTGTTGCTCACTCCTATCGGCGCCCCTGGGGCAGCAGCGCGGTGGAGGCCGGAAAGGCGGCGCTCGACAGCGCGCCCCTTCCTGGAGACAGTGCCTCGGCGACAGATGGGAGCGCCGCAGATCTGCGCCCGCGCCCGGAGACGATCCCCACAAAGTAGAGACTCAGGAGTGTTCGCTGGGAAGTGCTACCGTTAGCTGCGGCAGTCTTCAAGGACAGCTCGAGAGTGAACGCGTGGTCGTCTGCCGCAGCTTGTCGCCCACCCCCCTCCTGGGGGCCGGCGGCCAGGCGCCCGCGCGGCTGCTCGCTCCTCTCAGCGCCCCTGGGGCAGCAGTGCGGCGGGGGCCGGAATGGCGCTCGACAGCGCGCCCCCATCGTGGAAACAATGCCCCGGCGAAGGTAGTGGGCGCTGCAGAGGGCGCGCCCGCGCATGGAGACGCCTCCCGCAAAATTGAGCCTCAGGGGTGTGCATCGGGAAGTGCTGCCGTTAGCTGCGACAGTCGTCAGGGAGTGCTCCAGAATGAATAGGTGGGCGTCTGCCGCAGCTTGCCGCCCCTTCCCCCTCCTGGAGACCGGCAGGCGGGCGCCCGCGCGGCTCCTCGCCCCTGGGGCGGCAGTGCGGCGGGGGCCAGAAAGGCGCTCGACAGCGCGCCCCCATCGTGGAACAATGCCCCGGCGACAGTAGTGAGCGCTGCAGAGGGCGCGCCCGCGCATGGAGACGCCTCCCACAAAATTGAGCCTCAGGGGTGTGCATCGGGAAGTGCTGCCGTAAGCTGCAACAGTCGTCAGGGAGTGCTCCAGAATGAATGGGTGGGCGTCTGCCGCAGCTTGTCGCCCCCCCCCCCCCCTCCCGGAGACCGGCAGGCGGGCGCCCGCGCGGCTCCGCGCCCATGGGGCAGCAGTGCGGCGGAGGCCGGAAAGGCGCTCGACAGCGCGCCCCTTCCTGGAGACAGTACCCCGGCGACAGTTGGAAGCGCTGCAGAGGGCGCGCCCGCGCTCGGACGTAGAAAATCAGGGCCCAGAGGTCCTGGAGTTGTAAGTTTTAATTCTTGCGGCCAAAATGGCATCATTTGTAACTTTTATCTTACAGCCCTATATCTTAATGTTCTAAGATAATGTTGGTTTTCATATATATATATATGTGTTGTACACATACATGTGCACATATTGTTGTAAACGCGTGTGTATACATATGACGCGTGTTTACAAGCATTGCACGAATTGTGAGGACGTCTCGTGCGAAACTGGGAACACGGGCTAGGGGGATGTATGTTCGTGTGTGCTGGTGAGGATTGGCTTGTTTGGAAATGCCTCCGCTCTCCGTCTGTCGCGTTTCTCGCGCGACGCGGCCGTTTTGCCCCGAGCGGCCCCTTTCCTGTTGGGGCCGCGCCGCCATGGCGACGGCAGAGGACAGGAAGTCTCGAGAGACGTGCACTGACCACAAGAAGTTGTCAGAGGTCATTTTGCCGTTCGTGGACGGCCCCGCGTTTGTGAAGTACGGCACTCACCCAGGCCAGGATAAACTCACGGATGATTGCATTCTAGCCTTGCAGAGGGGCGCCAAAATGTTGCGGGCCATCAGGGGCGTCTCTTCGAACCTCACGATGACGAAGGCCACGACCGATGCAGCGATGATGAGCATTGGCAGATCGAAGGCGATAAATCAACAAACTCAGAGTCCTCCCAGTTTGCTCCATTTCAAAAAAAGGAGGCGGGGGGTGCCAATATTGGCATCCCCCTCCCCCTTCGTTTTGAGACGCCCGCCTCCTCGCCTCCCCTCGCCTCCTCGCCAGGCGGCGGAGTGGACCTATGACGACCAGCAGATGGAGAGCTGGGCGATCGAGAAGTCGAGCATGCTGAGGTCCATGGCAAAGCACTTGTACCAGCCCTTGCGGAACTACACAGCAGGCAAAACGTATCCTAAGTGGTTCGCCAAATTCGTCAGGATTGCCCATGGTGCCCCAGCAGCTTCGCCTTCTCCGACCCAGTCGCCTCCGTTCGACAGCTCGCCCACTACCCGTCCAAGCCGAGAACCTGAGGGCAACGCGGAGCAGCTTCCGCCGACGGGCGAGCCCAGCGTGTGCCATCATTGGGGGTGGGACTCCGCGCAGGGGAAGGCGTGGCGATCAAAAAAAAAAAAAAAACAGGCCCATACGAGTTGACAGATGAGATCTTCGCGCCAGAGGGCGCGACGGACACCGGCACCATGAGAGCGAGGTTCTCCGACGGGATGGCCTACGCGCTGCCGACTTTGACGAAGCTGGCGTTCGAGAGCATCGGCACTGAGAAGAAGACAGCATCCAAGCAGTCGTTCGTCGGCCACAAGGGCGATGAGAGAGTCGCAGTCACGGAGAAGCAGCTGAGGACCAGAAATGACAAGACCCTGGAGATTGGCCTCGTCATCAACGTAGACGGCCGACAAAAAGTACAGCTCAGCTACGATCATTGCCCTGCTGAGCAAGCCCGTGAGAAGATGCACACCTGGGCCAAAGCCTACATCAGCAACACCATGACGATTGATGAGATCAAGGCCGCCAGGTGCATGCCGTCGAGGAAGCGGCCTGCAGCGGCATCGGCAACTACGCCAGCCATGAAACGCCCTGCAGCTGCGACGGCCGTCGTCGCCAAGAGGCCTGCTGCTGCACCTGCTGCAGCTGACGCCGAGGATGATCGTCACCACAGCGACGAGGGCGAGGACGAGGGCGAGGAGAGCGAGGAGGACGGCTTCGAGAAGGACGAGGAGACGGACCCCGACGACACGAGCGGCGGCGACGCGGAGGAGGACGAGCTGCCCGCCAAGAACGGCTTCGAGGAGGACGAGCTGCCCGCCAAGAAGAAGCAGGAGCTGCCCGCCAAGAAGAAGCAGGAGCTGCCCGCCAAGAAGAAGCAGGAGCTGCCCGCCAAGAAGCAGGAGCTGCCCGCCAAGAAGCAGGAGCTGCCCGCCAAGAAGCCCGCGGCCGCCGCGGCGAACCCAGCTCCAGGAACTGACGAGGACAGGGCAGGGCCAACCTTGGCCACGATTGAACCTCCTCCTCCTACTCTTCCATGCCCTCCCTGTTGGTCGTCCTCCTCATCCGGCTCCCTGCCCCTTCTCCTCCTCATCCTCCCCCTCTTCCACCGAGAGGCCCCCCTCTTCCTCCGCTGGCCTCCAGTCTGAACGGTGACGGCTGCGCGCCGACGATCGGTCGACGACGCATCGACGATGCATCTACGGTGCCGCTGTCGGCGCACGAGTGGCCTCAACCGAGATCGAATGCGAAATCCGACTCGATCGGCGATGCGGACGACTGCGATGGCGAGATGATAGGCGGAGGACAGGGGAGGGGCAGGAGGAGCAGAAGGAGGAGGATGATGATGAGGAGGCGGAGGAGGAAAACAGCACCTCAAGGACTTGAAAACAGA